TATCCTGTCTCTACACTGATGTACATAATCACGAGTATGCAGAGATACGATACTGTGTACTGCCCTAGTACTAGGGAGATAACTTAATGATATAGACACTGTGAAATTATAAAAGTGCTTGGCACAAGAGTGACTATGGATTTCAATATTAAATTGTGTTATTTAAAGTGACGTGAGTAATCAGTAATTATGTGAAAGACATTAACGCAACTCCTAGTGCGACCGTTTGTCGTGTTGGGGGGTGTTGTGACCCCTGAATGGGTCACAATGTATACAATGTATATTGCCTTTTCATATAATTTTATACTGCTTATATTTGCGATAATAGCTAAATCGTAGATATATTGCTTTATATTATTATTTGACTTAGTTATTTTTATTAGGTAGGATGTAACATATATTATTCAGTGCTAATAATTCAAGTCTTAATTGTCTAACTACTGTAATTATTGCTTGTGGCTCGTTACTCTGCTGGCTTCTCGGTGTTGATGGGCAGCAACTGTCCACGGAGCAATCACGTGATCGAGGGGGGTGTTCACACCTCGCCTGAAGTAGTCAGTCTGGGCTAGACTCTATTGATGGTTGGACATATTCCTGACAAGACGTGCCTAACTCTCCTTTATTGGCCCTTGTTGGAAGATCGCCTCTGTCACTTTCTTGTTGTTGGTTCTGTAGAACTGTTCACAGAACATTGTCTAGACTTAGTGATTTTAGACGTTGTACTGAGGTTGTGTGTCGCATAGACACTCTGAGCAACTCAGGTCCTGAGCTGTAGCTTCTGACCTAATTTGTACTGGTATATGTGTACTGTCACAGTCGGGGATTTTCTTATGCTGAACTTAGATTCAGTAGTATGGGAGTTTTGCGACTTTTGTGGAGGATCTGCAGATGGTCCCTACTTAGTGTCGTTATATTATCTCCTTGTTCCTGATTCTGTGTCGCAGTTGCTTGTTATATTGCTATTGGGCTTAACAGTCGTTTTATTGTTCAAGCAAGCTGTTCTGATTGCCAGGTGGTCAAGAAGTTAGTCGATGTGAGGACTTTGTCAGTCACTGGTTCAAGTCTAGTCGAGTCGTGAGACATAGCGAACTACTTAGAGCACTTACACACATACACACAAACTTATTTGTATATTGTATTATTAAATGTTAATGTACCAGACGGTACTTAAGACATAAATATGTGATATGTGCCTTCAGCACAATACTGTACATGGGAAAAGTGATTATTATTACTTTGATTACTGTGATTAATTTAATTTAATTTGATAATATACTCCTAGACATCTTTATTGTTAATAAACTTATTAAATTTTAATTTCTCTAGTTAGTAGCCTACCAGTTGTAATCCTGAAGCACTAATAATTCTTATTGAATTCTAATGGATAATTGGACCAGGATACTGACTAATTGTTACGAAAACCCAGTAACAGGCTGGATGCTAGAAGGGCAGTCCTTTCTAGTATTCACTGGAGATCTCTAAGCATATTAGAAATCGCGTTTTTTGTAACAGTAAGTCCTACGAGGAGAGGTTAAGGGAAATCAACCTGACGACACTGGAGGACAGGAGAGATAGGGGGGACATGATAACGACACACAAAATACTGAGAGGAATTGACAAGGTGAACAAAGACAGGATGTTCCAGAGATTGGACACAGTAACAAGGGGACACAGTTGGAAGTTGAAGACACAGACGAATCACAGGGGTGTTAGGAAGTATTTCTTCAGCCACAGAGTAGTTAGGAAGTGGAATAGTTTGGGAAGCGATGTAGTAGTAGAGGCAGGATCCATACATAGCTATAAGCAGAGGTATGGAAAAGCTCACGGTTCAGGGTGAGTGACCTAGTAGCGACCAGTGAAGATGCGGGGCCAGAAGCTAGGACTCGACCCCTGCAACCTCAACTAGGTGAGTACAACTAGGTAAGTACAGACAAACATGTCAAGAAACTGGAAAAAGTGCGAAGGTTTGCAACGAGACTAGTCCTAGAGCTACGAGGTATGAACCATGAGTATATGTAGTAGAGGACCGTAACCTGATAACTGTAGAAAAGAGGACAAGGGAAAATATGATAACATTAAAATACTCCAAAGGAAATGATAGTTGGGGTACAGGGACAGGCTGAGAGGAGGAAAACAGGTACACGGGGGACACAGCTGGAAGATGAAAATATAAACCAGTCATAAAGATGTCAGAAACTGTTTCTTCAGGTTTATGGTGGTTACGACAGTGACAGTAGTTTCTTATCATCTCTCTTAACAGGAATAACATTAACTATTATAACCATCCTGCAGGATAACATTGTTCACTCCGCCAGGATAACATTGTTCCCTCCTCCAGGATAACATTGTTCCCTCCTCCAGGATAATATTGTTCCCTCCTCCAGGATAACATTGTTCCCTCCTCCAGGATAACATTGTTCCCTCCTCCAGGATAACCTTGTTCCCTCCTCCAGGATAACATTGTTCCCTCCTTCAGTATAACACTGTTCCCTCCTCCAGGATAACATTGTTCCCTCCTTCAGGATAACATTGTTCCCTCCTCCAGGATAACATTGTTCCCTCCTTCAGGATAACATTGTTGCCTCCTCCAGGATAACATTGTTCCCTCCTTCAGGATAACATTGTTCCCTTCTTCAGGATAACACTGTTCCCTCCTTCAGGATAACATCGCTCCCTCCTCCAGGATATCATTGTTCCCTCCTTCAGGATAACATTGTTCCCTCCTCCAGGATAACATTGTTCCCTGCTCCAGGATAACATTGTTCCCTGCTCCAGGATAACATTGTTCCCTCCTCCAGGATAACATTGCTCCCTCCTCCAGGATAACATTGTTCCCTCCTTCAGTATAACATTGTTCTTCCTCCAGGATAACATTGTTCCCTGCTCCAGGATAACATTGTTCCCTCCTCCAGGATAACATTGTTCCCTCCTCCAGGATAACATTGTTCCCTCCTCCAGGATAACATTGTTCCCTCCTTCAGGATAACATTGTTCCCTTCTCCAGGATAACATTGTTCCCTCCTTCAGGATAACATTGTTCCCTCCTTCAGGATAACATTGTTCCCTCCTTCAGGATAACATTGTTCCCTCCTTCAGGATAACACTGTTCCCTCCTCCAGGATAACATTGTTCCCTCCTTCAGGATAACATTGTTCCCTCCTCCAGGATAACATTGTTCCCTCCTTCAGGATAACATTGTTGCCTCCTCCAGGATAACATTGTTCCCTCCTTCAGGATAACATTGTTCCCTTCTTCAGGATAACACTGTTCCCTCCTTCAGGATAACATCGCTCCCTCCTCCAGGATATCATTGTTCCCTCCTTCAGGATAACATTGTTCCCTCCTCCAGGATAACATTGTTCCCTGCTCCAGGATAACATTGTTCCCTGCTCCAGGATAACATTGTTCCCTCCTCCAGGATAACATTGCTCCCCCCCTCCAGGGTAACATTGTTCCTCCTTCAGGATAACATTGTTCTTCCTCCAGGATAACATTGTTCCCTGCTCCAGGATAACATTGTTCCCTCCTCCAGGATAACATTGTTCCCTCCTCCAGGATAACATTGTTCCCTCCTCCAGGATAACATTGTTCCCTCCTTCAGGATAACATTGTTCCCTTCTCCAGGATAACATTGTTCCCTCCTTCAGGATAACACTGTTCCCTCCTTCAGGATAACATTGTTCCCTCCTCCAGGATAACATTGTTCCCTCTTTCAGGATAACATTGTTCCCTTCTCCAGGATAACATTGTTCCCTCCTTCAGGATAACATTGTTCCCTCCTCCAGGGTAACATTGTTACCTCCTTCAGGATAACATTGTTCCCTCCTCCAGGATAACATTGGTCCCTTTTTCAGGATAACATTGTTCCCTCCTCCAGGATAACATTGTTCCCTCCTTCAGGATATCAATGTTCCCTCCTCCAGGATAACATTGTTCCTTCCTTCAGGATAGCATTGTTCCCTCCTCCTGGATAACATTGTTCCCTCCTTCAGGATAACATTGTTCCCTCCTCCAGGATAACATTGTTCCCTCCTTCAGGATAACATTGTTCCCTCCTCCAGGATAACATTGTTGCCTCCTCCAGGATAACATTGTTCCCTACTTCAGGATAACATTGTTCCCTCCTCCTGGATAACATTGTTCCCTCCTTCAGGATAACATTGTTACCTCCTTCAGGATAACATTGTTCCCTTCTTCAGGATAACATTGTTCCTTCCTTCAGGATAACGTTGTTCCCTCCTACAGGATAACATTGTTCCCTCCTTCAGGATAACATTGTTCCCTCCTCCAGGATAACATTGTTCCCTCCTTCAGGATAACATTGTTCCCTCCTTCAGGATAACATTGCTCCCTCCTCCAGGATAACATTGTTCCCTCCTCCAGGATAACATTGTTCCCTCCTCCAGGATAACATTGTTCCCTCCTCCAGGATAACATTGTTCCCTCCTCCAGGATAACATTGTTCTCTCCTCCAGGATAACATTGTTCCCTCCTCCAGGATAACATTGTTCCCTCCTCCAGGATAACACTGTTCCCACCTCCAGGATAACACTGTTCCCTCCTCCTGGATAACATTGTTCCCTCCTTCAGGATAGCATTGTTCCCTCCTCCATTATAACATTGTTCCCTCCTCCAGGAAAACATTGTTCCCTCCTCCAGGATAACATTGTTCCCTCCTCCAGGATAACATTGTTCCTTCCTCCAATATAACACTGTTCCCTCCTCCAGGATAACATTGTTCCATCCTCAGGATAACATTGTTCTCTCTTCCAGGATAACATTGTTCCCTCCTACAGGATAACATTGTTCCCTCTTCCAGGATAACATTGTTCCCTCCTCCAGGATAACATTGTTCCCTCCTCCAGAATAACACTGTTCCCTCCTCCAGGATAACATTGTTCCCTCCACCAGGATAACAATGCTCCCTCCCTCCTTTAGGTACGACTATACTACTCTCTCCCTCCTTCAGCTACAACTACACTGCTCTCTCCCTCCTTCAGGTACGCCTACAGTGGTCGTCCAGTGGTCATCACAGATGGTCAGAGAAACTGGACAGCACCCAGCACCTTCTCTTTCGACTTCTTCAAGTCCATCTATGCTGACGACTCCCCAGTGCTGGAGAACTTCGAGCGGGACTGTCAGTTCTTCCCCTACCAGACCGAGTTCCGTAACCTGCGACATGTCTTTAACATGACCCACGAGAGAGTAGAGATGAGAGGTGATCCCTGGTACATTGGATGGTGAGTTGACCTTAACATTAAACTGTAATGAATGTTTGAACTCTGATGACCTCACTGCTTTGTACTGATTGACCTCTGATGACCTCACTACTCTGTACTGATTGTTTGACCTCTGCCGACCTTCTCACTACCTTGTACTAATTGTCTGACTTGTCGTGACCTTGTCTAATTGTAAGACCTCTGCTGACCTTGTCACTACCTTGCAGTAATTGTATGACCTCTGATGAGATTGCCACTACTTTGTACTGTCTGACCTCTGATGATCTTGTCACCACCTTGAATTGATTGTCTGACCTCTGATGACCTTGTCACTACCTTGCATTGATCTTCTGACCTCTGGTGACCTTCCCATCAGCACTGGTTAACCTTATATTAACCTCTGGTACACTAGTTGCTAAGTTGATCCATCTATTAACTCCATTTGTGTTCACGACCAGAGGATTTTTAACCCAGGATAAACCAAGACAATTAACCTGGGAGTGTTAGTAACACCCAGGTACCTACTTACTGCTAGGTGCACAGTGACAGCAGGTGTAAGGTGACTAACACCCAGGCACCTACTTACTGCTAGGTACACAGTGACAGCAGGTGTAGGGTGGCCAACACTCAGGCACCTACTTACTGCTAGATACGCAATGACATCAGGTGTAGGGTGACTAACACTCAGGCATCTACTTACTGCTAGGTACACAGTGACAGCAGTTGTCGAGAAACATGCCCAGCTTTTCCACCCACCCCACCCCTCAAGGAAGGTTCCTTGATGTTGGTGAGGGGCTCTTGATTTAGGGAATTGGATCTGTGCTCCAGTTCCCCGAATTAAGCCTGAATGCCTTCCACATATCCCCCCCCCCAGGCGCTGTATAATCCTCCGGGTTTAGCGCTTCCCCCTTGATTATAATAATAATAATAATCCACCCACCCCAGCATCGAACCCGTCACCCTCTGTTGTCAACCAAAGGCACAAACACACACACACCGCATTCAAAATTACTCAAAAAAATAGCTCATTTTCAAATATTACCGCTGCAAAACCACCTTAATTCTATTACGAACTCCATCTGACCGATTAATAAAAAAAATCGTATCTCTTCGCTCATGGCTGAATTACCTTTAAAAATAATGTAATCAAAGTCTTCCTCTGGGTATTTTTTGTGTAATTAAGGCTGTTCAATTATGGATTATATTTTGCCTTTTAAAGTTCAGATTTGTTCAATGTTTTAATGTTCAGGTAAGAGTGTGACATATTAATGATGTTTATGTTAGGCAGTTGTGTGTGTGTGTGTGTTGTGTGAGTGTGTGTGTGTGTTTGTGTGTGTGTGTGTACTCGCCTAATTGTACTCACCTAATTGTGGTTGCAGGGGTCGAGACTCAGCTCCTGGCCCCGCCTCTTCACTGATCGCTACTGGGTCCTCTCTCTCTCTGCTTCCTGAGCTTTGTCATACCTCTTCTTAAAACTATGTATGGTTCCTGCCTCCACTACTTCACTTGCTAGGCTATTCCACTTGCTGACAACTCTATGACTGAAGAAATACTTCCTAACGTCCCTGTGACTCGTCTGAGACTTCAGCTTCCAGTTGTGACCCCTTGTCCCTGTGTCCCCTCTCTGGAACATCCTATCTCTGTCCACCTTGTCTATTCCCCGCAGTATCTTGTATGTCGTTATCATGTCTCCCCTGACCCTCCTGGCCTCCAGTGTCGTCAGGCCGATTTCCCTCAACCTTTCGTCGTAGGACAATCCCCGTAGCTCTGGGACTAGTCTTGTTGCAAACCTTTGCACTTTCTCTAATTTCTTGACGTGCTTGACTAGGTGTGGATTCCAAACTGGTGCTGCATACTCCAGTATGGGCCTGACGTAAATGGTATACAGAGTCTTGAACGACTCCTTACTGAGGTATCGCCTGAGGTTTGCCAGGCGCCCGTATGCTGCAGCAGTTATCTGATTGATGTGCGCCTCAGTGTGTGTGTGTGTGTGTGTGTGTGTGTTTAATTATTCGGTTTGTCTGTAATAATTAATGTTCAAAGTGCAGTGGTAAACCCGTAGGGACAACATGCAGCTTTGGTGTAGCAACAAAAATATAGCAAAGAGAGAGCTCTGAGTGAGAGACAGTGACTGTTTCTCTCTCTCTCTCTCTCTCTCTCTCTCTCTCTCTCTCTCTCTCTCTCTCTCTCTCTCTCTCTCTCTCTCTCCTCTCTCTCTCTCTCTCTCTCTCTCTTCTCTCTCTCTCTCTCTCCCTACCACACGCTATCAAATTCTCCTATATTCTTAAAATTCATCACGTTCTTTGTCCCTCCCACACACACACAACACACACACACACACACACACACACACACACACACACACACACACACACACACACACACACACACACACACACACACACACACACACACACACACACACAACAGACACACACACACAAACACACACACACAACATACAAACACACACACACACACACACACACACACAACACACACACACACACACACACAACACACACACACACACACACACACACACACACACACACACACACAACAGACACACACACACAAACACACACACACAACATACAAACACACACACACACACACACACACACACACACACACACACACACACACACACACACACAACACACACACACACAACACACAACACACACACACAACACACACACACACAACACACACACACACACACACACACACACACACACACACACACACACACACACATAGCGTGGGTCCGTGGGGTGAAGACGTGGGTAACAAGGCTCCGAGATCCTTAGCGTTGTATGGCGTGCAATAACAGTTAGCAGTAATCAGTGGTAGTGGAACGTCACTGAACAATACTACGCGTGACAATTAAAGTTATTAGTTAAAGAAAGTGAGAGGAAAGCTGAAATCATAATATTTCAAAGCGCAAACCGTTGGGGGTCTTAGGCGCTGTTGCCACGTTGGTATCGGTAGGCCTGAAGAAGTGACGTCACGACAAGTTGTGTGCCATTATACATATAAAGTGAAGTGTATATAATGTGAAGTGTATACTATCATCAGTGAAGAGTGAAATCGCGTGAGGAAGCGGGATGTATGAGAATATATGGTTATAATCATCACGGGTGAAGGATCTCCAAAATAGGGATTTAAGGCCTACGTACGACGACTTCGTCATCAGCAGCTGGCAACTGTCACCGCAAGTTTATTCGCCTATTTGTGGTTTGCATGTTGACGGCCCTGGCTGGCCTTGCATACTGTTTGATACTGGTCACTCACTCCTGCAAGCTATTACCAGAATTAGAATAGAAATAGCATAGACATAGAGAATATAGTGTTGATGAGTGTGAGAATGTAGGTGGGACAAGCTTTTAAGGGCAACATTGTAAGACGGTGCTAGGGTCAGGTCCCAGGAGGGTTGTGTCAGGTCACAAGAAGTTGCGGCCAGTCATTACACTGCACAAGATTCTAAAAAAAAATTTTTTTTTTTTCCCAAAAACCCCCCAAAAAAAACCCAAACCCCCCAAAAAAAAAAAAAAAAAAAAAACCCCCCCCCCCCCCCAAAAAAAAACCCCCCCAAAAAAAAACCCCCCCCCTTCCCCCCCCCCAAAAAAAAAACCCCCCCCTTTTTTTTTTTTTTAAAAAAAAACCCCCCCCCCCCCCCAAAAACCCCCCCCCCCCCCAAAAAATTTTTTTTTTTTTTGGGGGGGCCCCCCTTTTTTCCCCTTTTTTTTTTTTTTTAAAAAATTTTTTTTTTTTCCCCCCCCCCCAAATTAATTTTTTTTTTTCCCCTGCCCTTTTTTTAAAAAAACCCCTTTTTTTTTTTCCCCTTTTTTTTTTGGGGGAAAATTTTTTTTTTTTTTAAAATTTTTTTTAATTTTTTTTCCCCGGGGGGTTTTTTTTGGGGGCCCCTTTTTAAAAATTTAATTTTTTTCCCCCTTTTTTTTAAAGGGGTTTTTTTTTTTCCCCCCCCCCTTTTTTTTTTTTTTTTTTTTTTTTAAAAATTTTAAATTTTTTATTTTTAAATATTTTTTTTAAATTGGCTTTTTTTAAAAAAATTTTTTTTTTTTTTTTTTTTTTCCCCCTTTTTTTTTCCCTTTGGGTTTC